TTATGAAGGAAGCGTTGCATAGCACAATTAGAATGCACACGGCTATAATGATTTTTGAAAACACGTCGTTGATTGGACCTTCCATAGGTGCAATCAGTGTACACATAACCTCTCTGTAATACAGAAAATATTGTTGATTAATGATGATTGCAGAGCTGAGTTGAACCTTGTTGTATGTTCCTCACAAACCTTTGATTACTGACTTTTTCGTTGAAATGAAAGCTATACCCGTTGTTATGAAGTATAACCAACTAAAATCGACTCACTCGTCGTTCTTCTGGTTCGCCAAAACTAAGACGTCCAAGGCAATTCCAAGTATGCATCCTGGCAGAGTATGCGCAAAGATATAAAAATTTGAATGGGAGGCTATCAAAGGTTTGCTGAAGAAAAAATTTTGAGTAAAAAGCCATCAAAAAGAAAGAGTACATCTAGGAGATTAAAAGAGAAAAACAAAAGTAGAGTATTATGATTCACAGAAACAAAAAAATTCTTGCAGGATCTTTGTATTAATAAAGAGCTCAACTCGTCTTTGATTCATTTTTGTTTGGCCCTCTTCGCCAGCTTCAAGGAACATTCTTACTCAAAGCTACCTCTTTTTGGGCACGCTTATTTGGGATTGTTTAATCTCTTTCTACTCATTACCCAACCCAGTTTCACACTATATAGTTTAGGCGGAAACCCTTTTCTTAGACACCCTTTACTTCTTCACCAAGGTTGCTGACCATTCTTACGATTCTTATTTACCACAAGATGCCGAGGCTCGAGAAAGTAAAAAAAAAGATAGAGTCAGAGAAGGATCCTTAATTAAGGTCAACTCTCTTCTTTACTGTTGTAGTTGACGCATCAAATTTAAAGTACGATACTACTGCTAAAATATGGAAGGAACATGGCAGTATAATTCCGAAGAAAGGGTCAAAATTAATTTCCAGAAGCAAAATGTATCAAATGCAATTTTTTAATAGAATTCGCATTGTTGATGGAAGGACTTGCAAAAAACTCACTAAAATCTCATCAAAGAAAATAGTCGGTCCATTGCAATCCCAAGTAAAAATAGTGGTGATGTACTTGATGCAAACAACGGTGCCAGTTGAAGGTATACGCAATAAGGTTGAGAAATTAGATCACTTTGAACGCTGTAAATGTCAATTTGAGCAGAGCAAAGTCCCGCACGTGTAAA